AAAATTATTGTAAATATCAATTTTGAGTGAATAATCTGCAGTAGTTACTAAAATATCGCAGTTTTCGTATTTCTGAAAATTACCGTTATATGGGAGGTAGGCGTGGTTGCTTTCCGATTTAGCCCATTTTCAATACCATTCGTCCTACGCCCGAAAGAAGTGCACGTACAAAGTTTCGTTAAGATATCTCAATTTTTACTCGAGTTATCGTGTGTACAGACGGACGGACGGACGGACAGACAGTCACCGCTTAATCGATTTCACTTTTCATTCTGATCATTTATGTATACATTTGTCTATATCTATCTCGATTCGTTTTGCCTGTTACAAACAACCGTTATGTGAACAAAGTTATAATACCGTTGTGCACAAGTGCGCTCGGGTATAAAAACGATGCAACAAATTTCTTGCTTACAGCTTTAGTTGATATGTCATATCGTTTCACTGAGCTTAATTTATTTATGTTTTTGGGCTCAAAGGCCAGCTCTGCAACATTATTTTGAATATATGTATTTTCAACGGCAAGAAGCTCTTTTCAAAATTTAAAAAATGGTGCAGACCAGGAATAATTCTGTGCAGAAATAATTTTTTTTTTTTTGTTGTCCAATAGTATGAATCGTACGGAAAAAGCGAGGCTTTTCTAGAATGAACTTGATATTTAGAAATACATATACATAAATACTTGGTACACACATGCTATGTATGTATTTGTTACTTACCTTCAAATCATTGATGATCTGCTGGAAAAGACTGCCCAGCGCGGAACTATCGCGTTCCAAGCTCAAATCCATGTTGATAAATTCACTTCTCCAAGATCACTTAGCTCAAAATATAACAACTCTTTTATTTTATTTCGGCTTTTTTAGAATACTCAACAATTACGATAATTGCCACTAATTGTTAACACTTTTAGACTTCGTTGTCCTCTAATCACTAATTGCTGCTTCTTTTGATTATGTCATTGGTAGATCGATCTCGCCACTGTTACATTGACACATCAATTACGATCAGCCACTATCGACTTTCAGTCACTTTACGTTAGGAACGACGACTAGCTCAACCGCTGATGTCTTCTTCGCTAAAGATCACGCGTATCAAAAGCCGCGGCAAACAACTTGAAGAATTATTTTGACGTTTCGACATTTTTATGTTTTTTTTTTTTTCTTTTAATTCAATTACTTTTTTCTTATTTCTGCTACGTTTCGTTAGCTTTTTAATTATTGTTCTTTTAATATTTTCTACTTCGGCTACTGATGCTTTCTTCGGCAGTCTGAGTACAATCTCTAAAGCCGCAATTGCTGTTACGTGTTATGTTTTATTATCTTCTGTTATTCCTTTTTATTTGTAGTTTGTTCGAATTTTCGTTTAGATTAATTTTTTGGAATCGTTTGGGTTTCGTTGATGCTTTGTTGCTATTTTGCGCATTTCTTTTTTGTTTTTGTTATTTTGCTCTACTGTTTTCGGGCACCGAAATTAATCATTTATTCTGTAAAGACAAGAAAGAGCAAATACATAAATTAATCATTTGTCTGACAGATATGACACCACAGATTTGAAATGTATACAACGAGGGTAGTGTATATGTACATCGCCGTAGCCAGAATGAAATTTAGGGGGGGGCGGGGGGGCTCGACCCTATTAAGCTGGCATTTCAGGGTACTATTTTATATATATATAAGGAAAATTTGAAAGTTAGGGGGAGGGCTCAAGCACCCCCCTGCCCCTACCAGGCTAAGCCCATGCATATGTACGTTCATATATATAAACTGACGGACTCGTACACATGTAAATATACTTATGTAGGTATGGACATACATGCATACAAATGAGGCCATGAGAGCAGAAGTGGCCCAACTCAAAAACATTTTTTTTTTTT